ATACTTAGACACAGTTAATGTTTAATGAAACCAGTAGGGAACACTTGGGGGTAGTGACCCAGATCTACACATAAGATTAGGGTTGGTTTGACAGAGATACAGCGACACTGTCTATATTACATTATTCACTGGAATAAATCTACAGCATTGGTACACAGAGTAACTCAGTTAGGAAGTTAGATCCTCCTATCAGGGAATTTGTTATATCTTCCCTCCTTGTTGAACAAGAGTTACAGTATGGGATAGATATTTTTGTTGTTGTTGTTGTTGTTTATGGGCAAATAGTGTCAGATCACACTGATTATGAGCAAATGTAATCTGTTTATGGAATCGTAATGGGCGGACTAGGATTAAAAGACCGTTCTGCATATTTAGTCATTTGTAAGTGAAGCATTGCTTCATTGTGTACGGAGGTTTAGAGGTTAAGCCTTACACTAATCATTGAACAGAAATCATAGCATTTATTCCTCAAAACATACTCGAAACAAACTAGTGTATAATCAGATTTTTAGGCTGGTGAGATATGCAAATAGATTTAGCAGAGTAAAAACTCCAAATGAGAAACTTCGTGTTTCATTTAAAGCTGGTATCAGGCTTTATGTTCATATTCATCTTATTCACGCTGCTGTAATTAGGCCATTTGAACAAAGAGATGCTTAAGTCAGGTAGTGAGTCAAGGACAAAGGTGGAATAATTAATTTCGTTTTGAGCCTGTAAACAATTTACAGAATAAAAAATAGGCCAAGGCTCTTGATTATGGATGCAGTGGATGTTTTCTGTGCTTTGTCTTTGTACTGCAAAAGTAATGACATATCCATTAGTCGTACAGAAATAGTTTGTGTTTAGCACAATAAAACACGCAACCAACATGGCGGTGATGCTATACACCTGCAAAACATAATCAGTTGTCATTGTAAGCTTGCTTGCATGATGATGTTTGCATTTAGCTCAGTTAGCAATGCCTCACTGTTACCATACAAGTGTAGAGGTTGTTGTGCGCCAAGTTGAACAGATGCACTCAGGCAGGTAAACGATGGCTGTAGCTTCTGGGTGTGAAAAGTGCTTTAAACCCCCCCTTATTAACTATTCATAAACTGTTTACTGTAACATTTCTGTAATAAAGTGCCTTGATATTAGTTGTTGAGGTAACTTGCTGATGCATTTGTAGTCAAACCATTTATTTTTTCCCTTACCTCTTGCCGCAGCCCTTTGCTCTGAAACCAAAGGCATGATAGTGTGAGTTACATTTTTCAGTTTAGTAGATTTTGCTCTGATTGCAATTCCAATTCA